ACACACAAATATACATATTTATATGTAAAAATATACATGCATACATACATACATTCATACATACGTACATACATACATACATACATACATACATACATACATACATACACACATACATACATACATACAAACACACATACATACATACATACATACATACATACATACATACATACATACAAACACACATACATACATCCATGCATACATGCATGCATACATACATACATACATACATACATACATGTGTACATGCATAAATACATTACATTACATTACATTACATTACATTACATTACATTACACTACATTACATTACATTACCACGTGCACACAGTCGAATGTACGCGCTTGAGCACCATGGCACGACGAACGAGTCAAGGCGAAATATCAAAACAACAAACGCTCTTCATTCGATCAACAACTGAAGCACTCAAAGATACCCCAAAAGGCTGGCACATAACAGCCACATTTCCACATTTGCAGCACGACAATTAAACACGGAGTTCTCGTGTTTTACAAGACGTAGTGGCCGAGAAGGAACTAATCTACGCCTGCAAACCTAATCACGACAACGTGTCTGAAAGCTTGGGATCAAGAAACAAGCAGGAAAGGCAGACACCGCTGAGTTTATCGCCCACATGCTGAACCAAAAGCCGTAATAACCGTCTCAAGGCCTCCTGTACCAAGCTCAAACGAAACCACCAAGTAAGCCTGCACAAAACGAAGGTCTCCCTCAGTGGTACCTTAATCAACCCCAAACCCTACGCCCTATGAGCCCTAAATCCTCTTGTTAAGGCACCCAAACGGCCCCTTTTTTTGAACCTAGGCGCTGCTGATCAGCTGTATCAACCTACTGAACCCTATTGAACCCTACATCTTCTTAATAAAGGCCCCGGGCCTCGAGCCCTTGAGGCGCTGGGCGGCGCCACCCAGCACGGAATTCGGCCGCTTCGGCGCAGCTTTTTGGCCTCTTCTGTAATCGGTTTTGGACTCTGGCAACTCGGAGTTTAGGGCTCGGCTCCTTTAAAAGGGATCTATAAGGGTTCCTTTATGGGATCTACAAGGTTTGAGATCGAGGGTTTAGGGCTCTGGGTTTTGAGGGCTGCCAAACTAATCGACTAAATTAAACATTGTAAAGCCCTGTAAGACCTCAGAAGAACCCTTCAGGGTGACGGTTCCAAGTTGGAGCTTTGGCATCTGCATGGGGCCATTGTTGAAACCGGACTTGATGACTGCCAGCATGGGGCCCTAAACCCTAAATCCTAAACCTGGTGTGTTTCGGATTTCGGAGGCTGAGCCTTCTGTGCCTTTCTCGGCCCTTAAGATATCAATCAATCTATCTATCTCTATATATATATATAATTATATATAATTAAATATAATTCTATATAATTATATATAATTTTATATAATTATATATATATATATATATATATATGTTTGTGTATATATACACACATATATATATATATGTATATATTCGGACTATGAACGACTGGCCGTCGTTGCCATCATCTTCTTAATTCATCATTGGCATCAGGAACGTTTCCGCCCGGCTGAAGAGTACAGCGTTAGCACTGACTACACTCCGTCCAGAATGTATGGGGGGTTCCCGAAAATAGGGGACACGCATATTATCAGGACCCCAAAATAAGGCCCTTGTTTCCGAAAATCCCATAGATAGCGAGTGGCGCAATCACAAACCAGAAAGCGCTGTCAACGCTCAGTCTTCAAAGCCCCGAATGCTGAAATCAAACCCACCTGAACCCTAAAGCCCTAAACCCTAACCTAAACCCTAAAACCTGGGTTTTTGAGGAGGGGCTGCAGTGCACATGCCCTTATGCCCGCCTCATGCCCGAAGCTTCATCCCTAAAGATCTAAGCCCATTTTCACAAGGGGCTCGACTGCTGCCCTTACTGCCCAGCTTGACCCTAACCCCTAAAGCCCGAAAGCCTAAACCCCTAAACCCTAAAACCCTAGACCCCTAAACACTAAAACCCTAAACCCTGAACTGTAAACCCTGAACCCCTAAACCCTGAACCCCTCATCCCTAAAGCCCTAAACTCTAAACCCTAAACCCTAACCCCCCTTTTGCAGCAGGCTTCTCTCGCCCGGAACTGCCTAACCCCCCTAAACCCTGAACCCCTTATCCCTAAAGCCCTCATCCCTAACCCTAAACCCTAAACCCTAAACCCTAAACCCTAAACCCTAAACCCTAAACCCTAAACCCTCATCCCTAAAGCCCTAAACTCTGCCTGCGTCCGCATCGCCCGGGATCTTCTTTTGGAAGGAATTGGAGCTCTTGGAGGCCGGCTCTTAGAGTGAGGCACAGACGGTTTAGAGTTTAGGATTTAGGGTTTAGGGTTTAGGGTTGGAGTTTAGGGCTTAGAGTTTAGGGTTTAGAGTTTAGGGTTTAGAGTTTCGATTTTAGGGTTAAGGGCTGAGGGTTTAGGGTTTAGAGTTTAGGTTAAGATTTTAGGGTTTAGGGCTTAGGGTTTAGAGTTTAGGGTTTAGAGTTTACAATTTACATTTTAGGGTTTAGAGTTTAGGGTTTAGAGTTTTTTTAAGTTTAGAGTTTGGGATTTAGGGTTTAGGGACAGAGTTCAAGGTTAAGCGTTTAGGGTTTAGGGTTTAGAGTTTAGGGTTTAGAGTTTAGGGTTTAGGGTGTAGAGTTTAGGGTTTAGAAATTACGGTTTAGATTTTAGGGCTTAGGGTTTAGAGTTTAGGAGCAGGGGACCGGGGCTTTTGGATTCGCACCGAAAGTAGACCCTTGATACAAAGGGTTTAGGGTTGAAGGTTAGGGTTTAGGGATAAGGGCCCGCAGTGGACCTCGATCATAATCCCATTATGGGCGGCTGTATCAGTCATTCATGGGCCATTCATGGGTCCAGAATTGTATTCACTACTGAACCCTAAACCCTAAACCCTAGACTACTGAGTGTTTAGCAACGGGCTTGGCTTGTTCGGTTCCCGGATCGGGCTCAAGCCTTCGGGCTGTGAGGCTCGGGGATTTCGGGTTTATGGCTTGAAGGTCTGGGCCTTCTCCCCCTTAGGATTTGTAATAAAGGTTGATGACGATGAACTGGTAGCAAGAGTAGCGAGGGCAAAAGCAGTGGCAACTGCGAAAGCCATTAATTTTCTCCGGGTTGCCTTGCTTCTGCTGGGCTTTCATGCGTTTTCGCGCCTGCACGCCAGGACTCGATCGAGGGCAGCGGCAAGTGCTACGATCGCTACCGAAACGAAAATGCCGACTACAGGTTGATGATGCTACTGTCAGCTGACTTCGCTTCCGACCGCTGCGCCTAAATGCAAACACACGACATGTCGGCAAGTTGTCGGCCGCCGGAAAGGCAGAAGTCAAGCCAGAGGCCGTGCGGCGTCACTGTCCACAAAGGGCCCCCATCTACATCGAGCCCACAACATCCGATGCCCTACTTAAAGGATCATGGGACTTAGTAAGTAGGATTATGATCAAGGTAACTATACTTATATTCACTTATAACCCCAATTAAGGGGCTTATAACCTTACTTACTAAGTCCCATGATCCTCCAAGTAGGCTCGCAACTGATAGATGAAGACACCTCCAAACGACAATCTGACAACTCTCTCGCTGCAATCTGCAACCTGCCCCTCTTGGAGGCATGCAGACAACTGTGCAACGAAAGGTGTCTTTGCGTTCCACAAACAGAAGACTTAGAATCCAAACTTTCCAAACAGCCCCCCCCGCTCCCTCGAATCCCAAACTCCAGCCAGGTTCACCTGCCAGGACAAATAGAATAAAACTAATAATCATTATTATTACTATGTAAATAACTATGTGTATATATATATATATATACACACACCTATATCTATATATATATATGAATATACACAGCGCTCTCTCTCTCTCCATGTATATGTACACATATATCAGAGGATCTTTCTGGGCCTTCTTGCTCAGAGGCTCCTTGGCATTGGGCTCCGGCGCCGTCCCTCGGCGGTTGGGCGCTGAAGCCTCGAACGCGGAATTAGGGTTTCAGCACTCACAACTGGGACAAGCCTGGCGAGGTTCCGAGTACAACGACGATAGCACATTGGCCGAGGGCTGGCGCGTTCACCACATCCCAAACTC